CCACAATGCCGTTAGGGAGGGAGTTCCAGGATTTGACCCAACAATACTGAAGGAGAGGTAATAGATTTCCAAGTCAAGATTCTGAGCGGATCAGAGACGAACTTGCAGGTGCTGGTGTTCCAATGTATTTGGTGCCCTTACCCTTCTAGATGGTAGAGCTTGTGAACTGGAAGGTGCTACCTAAGGAGCCTTGGTGAATTTCTATAGTGGGTCTTGTATATGGTACACAGCTTCTACTAAACATCAGTGGTGGAAGGAGTGAATGTTTGTGGATGTAGTGCCGGAAAATGTCAAGTTTCTTGAGCGTTGTAGGAGGTGCACACATCCAAGTAAGTGGAGAGTATTTCATCACATTCATGACAGGATAGTTTCTGGTAAATGGTAGCCCCTCGGATGTTGATAGTGGGGGATTCAGTGATGGTAATACCATTTGTCAAGTGACAATAGTTAAGATTCTCTCTTATTGAGGATGCTACTTGCCTAGTATTTTTGTGGCACAAATGTCACATGTCCACCGAAGTCTAGATGTTGTACAGATCTTGCTATAATTAGACATGCTTATTGTTTGACAAGTTATGAATGATTATGAACATTTGCAATTATCAAGGAACATCCAAACTTGTGACGGAGAAAATGTAATGATGAAGCAGTTGATGATGGCTGGGCCAAGGACACTACCCTGAGGAAATCCTGCAGAAATGTCCTGGAGCTGAGACAATTGATCTACAATTACAATAACCTATGTGCCAGGTATGACTGAAACCAGCAGAAAATTTTCATTCTTATTGCCATCAAGTCCAGTTTTGCTAAAGTCTCCATGATATCAGTCAAATGGAGCTTTGATGTCAAGAGCAATCACTCTCACCTTATCTCTGAATTCAGCTCTTTTTCCATGCTTGAACTAAGGCTGTAAAGGTCAGGTACTGAGTGTCCTTGGCAGAACCCAAACTGGGTGTCAATGAGCAGATTATTCCTAAGCAAGTGCTGCTTCATAGCACTGTTGGTGATCCCTGGACGTCACTTTATTGATGATTGAAAGCAGACTGATGGGATAGAAACTGACAAGATTGGACATGTCCTTCTTTTTGTGCACAGGTATATCTAGGCAAATTTCCACATTGCTAAGTAAATGACAATGTTATAGATGTGTTGGAACAACTTGGCTAGGTAAGCAGGAAGTTCCGGAGCATAAGTCTTCAGTATTGCCAGAATTTTGTCAGAACCAATAGTTTTTTCAGTATCAAGCTTTATATAATACAGAGTTAATTAATTAATTGCCTAAAGACTGGCATTTGTCATTCTGGAGACCTCTGGGGGAGGCTGAGATGGATCATCCACTTGAAGCTTGTAGCCAAAGATTGTCGCAAATGCTTCAGTCTTATCTTTTGCATTTAGGTCCTGGGATGCCCCATTATTGAGGATTGGGAATCTGGATTCTGGAAGGGTTCCAGTAGATTGAATAAACATGAATGTGACACTTGTTTGAGAAGGGAGGTAAACAGTAAGCAGGAAACTATAAATTAGCCTAATATTTGACATTGGGAAAATGCTAGAGTCCATTATTAAGGAGCAAATAGCAACATTGTGAAAGGGAAATTATATATGACAAATTATGGAACATACTGCTTGAGAGGGTTGTGAAGACAGGTACTGTCATAACAATGAAGAAGCATTGCCATAGGCTTGGTGGTCCTAAGTGGCTGTTGCAATGCTGTATGACTGTATGACTCTATGACTCTAAATTTGCTAGAATTCTTTGAGAATGTATCAGCAGAGTTTATAAAGGAAACCAAGTAGACATAATGGATTTGGATTTCCAAAAGGCATTAAAGGAGCCACATAAAACGTTTTGTACAAGATAGGTATTGGGGGTAACATATTAGCATGAATGGAGGATTTGTTAACACATAGAAGACAAAGAGTCAGAGGTAATGGGTCTTTTCAGGTTACAATGATGTTACTAGTGGAGTGCCACAAGAAACAGTCATAATGCTTCAATTATTTACTATTTATGTCAATATCTTGGAGGAGGGGGCAGAATATAATGTATTCATATTTGCTGTTGATATAAACATAGGTGGGAGGGCATGTTATGATGAAGACATAGGGAATTTGCCAGGGAATACAAATAGGTTATGTAAGACAGCAAAAACCTGGCAGATACACCTTAAAGTAGGAAGTGAGAGGTCACACATTTTGGTAAGAAACAAAAGACGGATTATGGGAGAGACTGCAGAAAATGTGCAGCACAGAAGGATCTAGATGTTCTTGTGCACGAAACACAAAACAATGCGAAAAGGTGCAGCAAGTAATTAAGAAAGCAAATGGAATTTTGCCTTTCATTATAAGGGGTTGAAGTCTTGTTACAACTTGTACAGGGGGTGGGGTTGCCTTATGAGTGAGAAATGAAATCAAATCAATAGGAAGAAACAAAGTAGGGTCAGATGGTGTAGAATCTGTGTGGGTAGAATTGATGAACCGCAGAGGTAAAAAAACCATAGTTGGGCTTGTGTATAGGCCACCAAACAGTAGTCAGGAGCTGGGGTGCAAGATACACCAGGAGTTGGAAAAGGTGTGTAAGAAAGGCAAAGTCACAGTGATCATGGGGGATTTCAATACACAGGTGGACTGGGAATATCGTGTTGGTAGTGGATTGCAAGAAAGAGTTTGTGGAATGTCTACAAGATGGCTTTTTGGAACAGCTCGTGGTGGACCCCACAAGGGAACAGGCAATACTGGATTTAGTGTTGTGCAATGAAGCAGACCTGATAAGGGAGCTTAAGGTAAAGGAACCCTTAGGAGGCAGTGATCATAAGATGATAGAATTTACTCTGCAATTTGAGAGGGAGAAGATAGAATCAGAGGTAACAGTATTACAGCTGAATAAAGGTGACTATAGAGGTATGAGGGAGGAGTTGGGCAGAACTGACTGGAAGAGGAGCCTAGCAGGAAGGACGGTGAAACATTAATGGCAGGAGTTTCTGGGAGTGATTCAGGAGACACAGCAAAAATTCATCCCTAGGAAAAAGCAGCATGGTACAGGGAGGATGAGGCAACCATAGCTGACTAAGGAAGTCAGGGATAGCATAAAAGCAGAAGAGAAAGCACATAATGTGGCGAAGGGCAGTGGGAAACCAGAGGACCGGGAAGCTTACAAAGACCAACAGAGGGCAACAAAAAAAGAAATAAGGAGGGAAAAGATTAAATATGAGGGTAAGCTAGCCAGTAATATCAGTGAAGACTGTAAGAGTTTCTTTAGATATATAAGAGGCAAAAGTGGACATTAGACCACTGGAAAATGACGGTGGAGACATAGTAGTGAGGAACAAGGAAATGGCTGAGGAACTGAATAATTACTTCACGTCAGTCTTCACGGTGGAAGACACAAGTAATATCCCAAAAATTCAAGACAGTCAGGGGGCAGAGCTGAGTATGGTGGCCATCACCAAGGAAAAGGTGCTAGTAAAACTGATTTGCCTGAAGGTGGACAAATCACCTGGACCAGATGGACTTCACCCCAGAGTTCTAAAGGAGATAGCTGAAAAGATAGTGGAAGCGTTAATGGTGATCTTGCAGGAATCACGACAGTCAGGGAGGGTCCCAGAGGCCTGGAAAATCGCTAATGTGATACCCCTGTTTAAAAAGGGAGTAAGGCAAAAGACGGAAAATTACAGGCCAAATAGCCTAACCTTGGTCGTGGGCAAGATTTTGGGGTCCATTGTAAAGGATGAGATTTCTAAAAATTTAAAAGTGTATAGTAAAATAGGGCAAAGTCAGCATGGTTTCGTCAAGGGGAGGTCATGCCTGACAAATCTGCTAGAATTCTTTGAGGAAGTAACGAGCAAGGTAGACCAAGGAGAGCCAATGGATGTTATCTACCTGGACTTCAAGAAGGCCTTTGATAAGGTGCCACACAGGAGGCTGCTGAGTAAGATAAGGGCCCACTGTGTTAGAGGCAAGGTGCTAGCATGGATAGAAGATTGGCTGTCAGGCAGAAAGCAGAGAGTGGGGATAAAGAGTCTTTCTCGGGATGGCAGCCGGTGATGAGTGGTGTTCCGTAAGGGTTGGTGCTGGGACCACAACTCTTCACTTTGTACATTAATGATCTAGATGAAGGAACTGTGGGCATTCTGGCTAAGTTTGCAGATGATACAAAGATCGGTAGAGCGACAAGTAGTATTGAGGAGGTGGCGAGGCTGCAGAAGGACCTGGACAGGTTAGGAGAGTGGGGAAAGAAGTGGCAGATGGAGTACAATGTGGGAAAGTGTGAGGTCATGCACTTTGGTAAGAAGAACAAAAGCATGGACTATTTTCTAAATGGGGAGAAAATTCAGAGGTCTGAGGTGCAAAGAGATTTGGGAGTTCTAGTCCTGGATTCTCTCAAGGTAAACTTGCAGGTTGAGTCAGTAGTCAGGAAGGCAAATGTAATGTTGGCATTTATTTTGAGGGCTTGAATATAAAAGCAGGGATGTACTACTGAGGCTTTATAAGGCGCTTCGGAGGAGGTTCACAAGAATACTCCCAGAAATGGAAAGTTTAACATATGAGGAATGTTTGAAGACTCTGGGACTATACTCATTGGAGTTTAGAAGGATGAGGGGGGATCTAATTGAAACTTTCAAAATACTGAATGGCCTGGACAGAGTGGAGGTTGGGAAGATGCTTCCATTGGTAGGAGAGTCTAGGACCCGAGGGCACAGCCTTAGAGTAAAGGGAAGACCTTTTAGAACGGAGATAAGGAGAAAGTACCTCAGCAAGAGAGTGGTGAATCTATGGAATTCACTGCCACAAAAGGCTGTGGAGGACAGGTCATTGAGTACATTTAAGACTGAGATAGATAGGTTCTTGATTATCAAGGGGATCAAAGGTTACGGGGAGAAAGCAGGAGAATGGGGTTGAGGAACTTATCAGCCATGATTAATGGCGGAGCAGGCTCGATGGGCCGAATGGCCGAATTTCTGCTCCTATGTCTTATGGCCTTATGGATTGGTGAGGCTGCACCTCGAGTACTGTGCACGGTTCAAGTCCTCTTAGTTAAGAAAAGGTATATTAGTATTGGAGGTAATTCAAAAAGGATTCATTGGATTGATTCCTCAGATGAAGAGTGGACTTATAAAAAATAGCTAAATAGCCTTTATTTATTAGACTTTAAAAGAATGAGGGTGATCTTATTGAAGCATACAAGATTCTGAGGACTTGACAAAGTGGATATTGTAAAGACGTTTTTACTAGTAGGGGATCTCAAACTTCAGAACTTGGTCACAAAATATGGGGTACTCACTTAAAACTGAGAAGCAAAGGAATTTTTTCTCTCAGAGGGAAATGAACATCTGGAATTCTTTTATTTCAGACAGCTGAGGAGGCTGGATAGATTTTTGAATTATCGAGGAGTTGAAGACTTTAACAAGCTGAAACTAAAGAAGAATTGAGGTCTGGGACAGATCAGCCATGATCTCATAGAATTGCAGGGCAGGCCTGAGGATCTAAATAACCTACTCTTGCTTCTATTTATTATGTTCTTCCTGGGCCCTATGCTCCGGAATTCCCCCGGCCAACCTCAAACTTTCCAACACTGCACCCACCCAACCCCCTACAAAGTGCGCACACGCATGCACACACACACCCAACATCGTCATCAGCAATCACTTGCTAATGTGTATAACTGTCCACTTAGGAAATTCTGTGTCACAGATCATGGGTTCTTTGAGTCCTTGTGTGGCTGATGAGCCTGATCCTGCAACCGCATCTCCAAACACAAGTGTTTCTAGGAGGTGGAACTGGTCCTTGGCCTTGAGGTTGTTGGCATTCCTTTCTCCAGTTCTTTTTCCGTACATCCTCTTGCCACAGTGTCTTCTCAACGAACCGTTCATACAGGAGAGACACAACACACACATACACACACACACACACACACACATATATATATACACACAGAATAAAATGTTCTTTAAAACTCTTAACACCTCCCTTTTTGGTTTTATGTCAGTTTTTGTATGATAATGCTCCTGTGATGCATTTTGTTACGTGTAATGGACCAGACCAATCTCCTGTAAATATATCAAGCAGATAGCTTAGACCCTATTTTTTCTTATTTAAAGGCAAGTGTAAGGTGCTGTGTTGCTGATGTAATTTGATTGGTTATACTTGGCTTTAAGCAAAACACACTTTATTCTTACTCGATAGTTAAAATACAAACAAAAGATTGAAGAATTAGTCTAATTTTAAATCTATTGGAAGACTTAACAGAATAATAGATTATTTAACTACTAAACAGCAACCTTTCTAATATAGTAACATCCCATAACCTACCCTTGGCAAAGGCAAATTCATTAAAATAGGTTGTCTCATGTGCAATGTCTCTCTAGTCCAGGAGGAAAGAACATCAAGAGAAAATTCTGCTATAGAGAGAGAACTCCAGTCTTTTGCTGTGGCAGAGAGACAGCTTTCATAGCCAGCTTCAAAACCCCAGCAATTACTGAAAGCTAGACTAAAACCCTGGTTCCGTGTGAGTCTGACTCCACCCATTCATGCCTCTCCTATTGTTCCAACTTTTTTTTTAAAAGAGCCCAAGGCCTCACAAGCTGTTTATTGAGTGGAACATACCACTTGCTACCTCTGTCTCAACCTCTCTTCGTTAAAAAAAGGACAAAACTACATCTCTTAAAGCCACAGCATCATCACACATGACATTAAAGGTACGATAAAACTGTTGTTACACCTCAGCAAAGAGATAGTTCCAATGTATCCGTAACGTTAATGAATACTTCCTTTTATGAGATGCACAGAGGTGATTAACCAAATGGCACCCTATGGAGCCAGACATCTCTCCATTTTTTTTTATTATTGGTGCACCTAGTTTGATGAAGGGTCTAGGCCCGAAACGTCAGCCTTCCTGCTCCTATGATGCTGCTTGGCCTACTGTGTTCGTCCACCTCTACAGCTTGTTATCTCTACTTCTCACCCTTTCTGTGTTAACTGATAACTTATGGTTAGTTGGCCTGACAAACTGAATAATGCATGGTGGGGAATCCACACCAAATGAAGATTCACCTTAAGCTGTATTGCAACAAATGAAATAAGTTATGACAAATACTGACAGAAAGTTAAACTAGGAAAAGCTTGGTGGAAATTAAATTTTGTTATTTCTTATTATAAACATTAGACAATTATCACTTTAAATATTTTGAACAGATTTAAACAGATAGATTTAGGTTTTGTCTGCTTACTCACTTGGATGTTCTAGCCTTGCTAGTTGTCTGTGTTGCACATGCATGTTGATAATAGCCAGAGCCTTCTGACTGCATGTGAAAATGTCGGGGTTTTCCAACAGCTCAGTTAACGTCAGGTTGGTGTGAATAGCATTGCTGGCAGTTGTCTGGGCAACCAAAGGCAGCTTTAGCTGGTAGCCATAATCCATAAAGTTCATTTCATCATCAAGGATAAGCTTTGCTCTAAATGCAAATGAAATTACATTGTTAGGAAATAGTGAGGTATTTGGAAAGCGAAGAAGTGCTTGTTAGCCCTAATGGCCATTTTATCATCTTACCCCAATGTTAGAAATATCAGACTTATTTTTTGCCCCACTTTTTTTTAATTTCAATCTCATCAGTTAATACCGGATAGTCAACATGGCATTGCCAAGGGCAGGTCATGTCTGACAAATTTAGTTGAGCTCTTTGGTGAGGTGACACAGGCAGTGGATGAGGGTAATGCTATGGATCTTGTATATTTGGACTTTCAGAAAGCATTTGACAAGGTTCCGCTGGTAGGTTGGTTAGCAAATTAGAAATGTTTGGGATTGATGGATTCCTGGCAACCTGAATTAGAAGTTGGCTAAAAAAATAGGAAACAGAGGCTAGGTATAGATGGGCATTTCTCAGATTGGAGTTCAGTTGGAACTGGTGTTTCCAAGGGATCAGTATGCTTTTTTCTGATTTATATAAATGATTTGGAGATGGATGTTGACAGCAAAATCTCTAAATTTGCAGATGATACTAAACTAAGGAGAATAGTGAATTGGGATGATGCCAAGAGGCTTCAGAGGGACATTGACAAGTTGGCCAAATGGACAGACACCTGGCAAATGAATCTCAATGCAGAGAAATGTGAGGTAATGCAGTTTGGTAAAAGAAACACAAAGAGACAATACAGACTCAATGTTACAACTTTAAGGGGAGTACAGGAGCAAAGGGACCTTGGGAGTCATGTGTATGATTCTCTGAAGGTGGCCAGGCAAGTTGAAACAATTGTTAAGCTGGTTTATAGGATTTATAAATAGAGACAAAGCATATGAAAGCAACGAAGTGATGTTACACTGCTACAAATCACTGGTCAGACCACATTTGCAGTATTGTGGCCAGTTCCAGGCACCATATACAAGATGTTAAAACCCTGGAGTGAGTTCAAGGGAGATTTACTAGAATGATACCAGGAATGACAGTTTTAGATATAAAGAAAGATTAGAGAAATTGGGCTTATTCTCCTTGGAGTAAAGATTAAGAGGTGACCTTATTGAGATGTTCAAAATTATGAATAATTTTGACAGGGTAAAGAAGGATATTCTGATTCCACTAGTTAGTGCGGCAGTAACTAGGGGACCACAATTTCAAGATTATCAACAAAAGAGATGGGAGTGAGATGAGGAGAAATGTCTTTACTCAGAGTTGTTAAGATTTGGAATGTTCTGCCTGGGAGAGAAGCGGGGGCGGATTCCATACGAGTTCTCAAAAGAGCCCTGGATATATGTTTGAAAGTGAAGAAGTTAGAGGGCTACAGAAATAGGGCTGGAGAGTGGGACTAGATGGGCAGCTGTTTTGGGAGCCAGTACATGCACGATGGATCAAACGACCTTCTATACTGTAAAAGCAATGATTCTACTTTCCCCTCCCCCTACTCTTTCTCTACCATTTGGGAGAGGGGAGGTGGGGAAAACCTATTATGTCTGCTGTGTTAGTAGCACCACACACATTGAGAAAAGGTTTCTTCCAAAACCATTCCAGTAAAAATCATCACTTTTTCTTTTAGAACAATTCTATAATTTCACCGGACATAATGAATACAGGGAATTTTCTGGACAATCATAAAATGGAATCATTATATAACAATTGGAAGTCTCTCCTCTAAATTCCTTGTTACAAACTTGTCCAGAGTTATTTCACGGACCTTCTCTACTATTTAGTTTAGTGGCCTCCTTTAGTAGTTTATTCACATTTATGCTTCCTCTCAGTTTTCAAATCTACTTTTCTTCTCAGCTTTCAAACACTAAAAACAAAGTTGAAAAGAAAGCTATGCAATTACAACACAGGCATCTACCTAACAATATGGAAAATTGTCCAGGTTTGTCTTGTCCATGAAAATCAGTTTAAGTTCCACCAGGGCCTGACTCAATTGTAGCCTTGGCTCAAACATAAAGAGCTGATTTCCAAAGATGAGGTGACAGTGACTGCTCTTGGCATCAAGGCCATATTTAATTGACTGCAGCATTAGGGAGCTGTTGCAATATTGAAATCAATGGGAATAAACTGTTCACTGGTTGGAGTTGTATCAAGCACAAAGGAAGATCATTCTTTATTCACTCATGGAACATGGGTCTTATTGGCTGATCAGCATTTATATCCTGTCCCTAGTCACGATTAAGAAGATGTGGGGAGCTGCTATCTTTAACCACTATGGTTAATGTGCTGTATGTAGACCCACACTGCCCTTAGGAAAGGAATTCCAGCATTTTGACCCAGCTACAGTGAAGGAATGGTGATATACTTCCTGGTCAGTGGCTTGGAAGGGAACTTGCAGGTGATGACATTCCCATATATTTGCCCCTGTCCTTCTAAATGGAAGCAGTTGTGAGTTTGTAAGGTGCCGTCTAAGGACCTTTGGTGAATTTGGTGATAGCTGTGGCTTTTGGAGGATAATCATATCAGCTCCAGGACATGTCTACAGGAATTCCTCAAGGTAGTGTCCCAGGCCCAACCACCTTCAGCTGCTTCATTGATGACCTAATGATGGAAGGCAGGTCAGAGGTGGGAATATCTTCTTACCACTGCGTAATATTCACTCCCATTCCTGACTCCACAGATATCAAAGCAGTCCACGTCCTCAAGCACAAAGACCGGAAAATATCCGGGCTTAGGCTGACGTATGGCAAGTAAAATATGCCACATACAAGTGCCATCTCCAGCAAGTAAGAAGTTAATCAACTCCCCTTGACATTCAACAGTGATGCTATTATGGAATTGCTCACGATGAACATCGTGGAGGTTATCATTTAAAAGAAAATGATCCAATCATATAAATACTGTGGCTGTTAGAGCAGGTGGAAGGCTGGAAATTCAGCAGTGAGTAACTCAGGTTCTAAGTCCCCAAAGCTTATAAGGTGTCTACAAGGTATGTCAGGAGTATGAAGAAATGCTCTACGCTTGCCTGTATGGGGGTGGCTGCAACAACACTCAAGGAGCAACCTGTTTGTTTGGTACCCTAACCACCATCAAACATTCCCTCCCTTCACCACAAACACAAACTGACAACAGTGTGCACTATATACAAAATGCATTGCAGCAACTCATCAAGGATCCTTCAGCAGCACCCTTCCAGTCTAAAATCCCAACCAACGAGAAGAACAAGAGCAGTAGCAGTTCACTGCCATATTAAGGCCAAGTAGGGATGAGCAATGAATGCTGGCCTTGTCAATGCCATTTAAATACCATGAAAGAATATTTTAAAAGTATCTCTTTCCTTTAACAATATCATTTCTCTATGAAGTACTTTTTGGAGACAAAACAAATATCTTGAGGTTGGTTGGCTCGCCGAACTGGTTTCTTGTTTCGCAGACGTTTCGTTACCATGCTGGGTAACATCCTCAGTGTAGCCTCTGATGAAGCATCGGTGTGTTCTCCCGCCTGGTTTTTAAACTCTGGGGTCCGTTGAGATGGATTGCCTCACTTCCGGTTTTCCGTCGTAGTGGAATGTATATGGGGTCGAATTCAATATGTTTATTAATAGCATGATTCGTGGAGTGCCACCTTCTAGGAATTCCCGTGCCTATCTCCGCCTAGCTTGTCCCAGGAATTTGGTGTTGTCCCAGTCGAAATGGTGGTTCTCCTTGTCCATGTGGATTGAGATCAGTGAGTACTGGTCGTGTCTTTTTGTAGGCAGTTGGTGTTCATGTATTCTTGTTGTTAGTTTCCTTCCTGTTTGTCCGATGTAGTATTTCTCACAGTCACTGCAGGGGATCTTGTAGATGACATTGGTCCTGTCCATGGTGGGGAGCGGGTCTTTAGTTCGGGTGAGCAGTTGTCGTAGGGTTGACATGGGCTTGTGTGCCACTCTGATGCCCAGCGGTCGTAGGAGTCTTCTGGTGAGTCCTGACGTGTTTCTGATGTAGGGTAGTGTGATGTAGGGTAGTGTCAGGGTGTGTAGTATCTTTCCGATGTTGTTCGTGTAGGCATCTTCTGACCCATTTTTTTATTTGGACATCCATTATCCTTGAAAACCTGGAAGAGGTATTCTTCTTCCTCTAGGCGCAGTTCCGTGTTGTTGCCCTTTTAAAAAGTACACCGAAAAGCCATACACACAAACCAGGTATTGAACTTCAACAGTAACCATCCCAGCACACACAAACGAAGCTGTGTGCGAACACTATTTAAAAGGGCGACAACACAGAACTACACCGAGAGGAAGAAGAATATCTCTTCCAGGTTTTCAAGGATAATGGATATCCAAAGAACTGGGTCAGAAGATGCCTACACGAACAACGTCAGAAAGATACGACACTCCCCAACACACTCATCAGCCTACCCTACATAAGGAACATGTCAGAACTCACCACAAGACTCCTACGACCACTGGGCATCACAGTGGTACACAAGCTCACGTCAACCCTACAACTGCTCACCTAAACTAAAGACCCACTCCGCGCCATGGACAGGACCAATAGCATCGACAAGATCCCCTGCAGTGACTGTGAGAAACACTACATCGGACAAACAGGAAGGAAACTAACAACAAGAGTACATGAACACCAACTGGCTACAAAAAGACACTCATCTCAATCTGCATGGACAAGGAGAACCACCATTTCAACTGGGACAACACCAAATCCTGGGACAAGCTAGGCAGAGACAGATACGAGAATTCCTAGAAACCTGGCACTCCACGAAGCATGCTATTAATAAACATATTGAACTCGACCCCATGTACATTCCACCACAGAGGAAAACCGGAAGTGAGGCAATCCATCTCAACGGACCCCAGAGTTTAAAAACCAGGTGGGAGAACACACCGACGCTTCATCGGAGGCTACACTGAGGATGTTACCCAGCATGGTAACGAAACGTCTGCGAAACAAGAAACCAGTTCGGCGAGCCAACCAACCTCAACACCCACAACCCGAGCTACAAATCTACTCCAAAACCTTAAAAACAAATATCTGCTGAGAAAAGGGCATTATTTCCAATTTCAATCAAAAATTGAGATCAGGAACTGAGAGGAAGTAATTTAAAATAAAACAAAGGTTAAAGCAATACAGGTCCATGAAGAACGTTATGCTAATTTATGCTATTTTTGTGGAACTGGCTCCGATAAGATCAGAGAAGTGCTAAAAATGGCTTTTCCTGCCACCCCTCTATTCTCACCTTGTGAGTCCGATAAAAACATCCATCCTTACCCCTCCACCCTCTACAACTTCTCCTCTCCATCACTGTGCTCACTCTTGGAGACATTACTCACAAATAGGAACAGTTTGAGATTCCAATGGAAAGAGTCAGGAGGTGTTGGGGACACAGAGGGGCTGTTGCATGTATGGTACAAAAGGAATGATGATAAAACACCAAGCACAGCATTTCCAAAATGGCCAGTCCGCCATTGTTCAGAAACATGAGGTCTGTTTCCACATATACATTTATGATGCCAGGCTCTATGTCTATTACCTTTCAGCCTTATCCTACTTGTACGCTTTCAGACTGCTTGTCCAACACCCAGAACTAGATGAACTCAAACTTCTTCCAGATAAACATCATGAAGACTGCAGTTTTGAATTTTTGGCCACAAAAGTCCATATCATTCCAGGGCGATGATTCTGACTAAACTAGACAATTCTCCACCCTTGCGTCCTCGTTCATTGGGAAGTATTTGTGACTTCATATTTCCTCCAAATCAGATAGCACATATTTCTATTACTTTAATATCATTCATCTGCAATTCAACCTCAATCTAACTGCCATTAAAAACCCTCACTCAGACTTTTGTTATTTCAAGACTCAATTACTCTAAAGACCTCCTGCTCAGCTCCTTATTGTCCAGCTTTGGTATGCAGTACATTCCAAAACATTGTTTCTGTATCCTGCAAGCATCAATTACATTCACCCAGTCTCGTTTTTGCTCAGCCACATCCAACACACGCAGGGATAAATTTTCTCGCAAAGGCACCCAATCTGCTGGCAGGATTAAAAGCAAGAGGGGAACTGCTTCAGCAATCAGCAAGGCCCAGGCCTGGATCCTGTCAGCAGCAGTGAATTAATTGGCTGTTTCTGGGGCCACTAACCAATAAAGGATGGCTTTAAGAGCTGGTGACCCAGCAGAATCACTATGAAAGGTAGCCATTTACATTTATTTAACACCTTTAATGTATTAAAACATCCAAAGGCACTTGACAGGAGCATTATGAGAAATAAGCATGACATGCAGCCACATAAAGAGGTATCAGGTCAGATTTCACCAATTGGATTCTCTCCAGGATGACCCACAGTGCAGGCTGTGATGTAGCAGTGAATGCCAGAATGTAATTTCAGGTTTTATGCACTAATTTGGCCGAATGCTAAATCTTGAATTTACAGCCAGTTTCAGAGGCTTAATGATGGTGAAAGCCGACAATTCGATCGCAGCTCATCTCCATAAAATTCAGATTTATGTGATGCAGGTTGTTTGTGTTGAGCACATGAAGAAAGATGTTTTGGTTATTGTGCAAGACAAGCTACTTTTGTTTTATCTTCTTTTATTCATACAAAGCATATTACAAGGAAGTAATAGTAACCCCATATTGTTCAATGGTGTTCATTATGCCGTGAAACTCTGACAGACTGTGAGCCAATCTCAAAAATAAGAAAAGCATCAAGCTGGAGTCCAAAGGAAGGAGAGAAAATATCTTGTGCACTTGTCAGCCAAATGGCTTTAGAAGCAATCTCGGAGCAGATGGTTTCACTGCATCTTACCCAGCTGTTCAATAAACTAAGCAAAATAAAATCTTAAGTCTAAAAAAGGACACTAAACAATTGGTAATAGTGTTTTAAGCTTATAAACTGGCATGTGTATTCAACTTCATCACATATGCAATAGAAGGAGATCCCACTGAAATTAGTCATTTAATAAGATTTATACATTGTTGCCAGACATGGATATGGAGTTACAGAGGTGGATGAAGGTATGACACAGGTCAATCATCATCTCACTGAATAGACGAGCACACCTGACTAACTGAACGGCCTACTCCTTTTCCTTTGTGCAGAACAACATAAGGCACTTACCAATTTGCCTTAGGTGTAGTGATTGTAACAATGTCAGCCAGGTGGTCCTCATAGAATGAGTTCTCTGATTGGGGTTGTTAATCTGGTGCAATCAGGGACTCCTGGCTGACACTCTGAGAACTGGCTCTGAGGGAGTTGGATCATTGTCAATGACTTTCCACATGTAAATAACAGGTGATTTGGTGATGGGATACCAGCCTCTGTGAAGGTATTTCATTCGTAAGTTACAATACAAGTCTAGAATGAAAATACTTACTGCCTGTTTGTCAGTAAGGTGTATATATGTTGTATCAGATACTCGGCTCCACCAGGCTTAGAGTGCATTGTAGCATAAATTAGTTCCTTGGGAATGTTCAACTTTTTCCTGAAAAAGAACTTAGAAGGAAAAGTTGAGTAATAGCAGTTCACTGTTAACACAAACCTCCAAAAATTGTACAATTCTGAATATATAGATTTAAGTATTTATCTCGGTTATTATGCAAACAGCTCTGTGATTTGAAATATTTAATTAAGGTCAGTTCCCCTATTCTGAAAGGGTTTTTTCTTTAGAACTTGGAAACAGATGTAGATTTGCCCTATTATTTTGTGGCCTATGATATCATTTTAATCTCACTTTCTGCTTTCTGCTTTCTCTTAATATCCATCTAACCCAAATTTATCTATTACTTATGTTACAGAAGACAGTTATTTGGAACAAGTAATCCACTGTGATTCTCTGTAAAACAATCTAGTCAGTGCCATGCCCCTGCTCCATTCCTCCAGCACCATAAATCTATTTCCTTTAAGTATCCACCCAGTTTCCTTTTGATATCACTGAGCATTCCAGCATCCACCATGCTAATAGGCTGAGCATTCTGGGTTATTGACAATTTATGTATTAAAAAAAATTACTCTTCACATCTCACCTGCAACTTATGCCCAGTATCTTAGATCTGTGTGCCTTGTACTTCCAGCTAATGGGAAGAGTGCTTTTTCCTGTCAACTACCTTTTTCAAGTTTGTCATACTCATGAATTTTCTTCTATCAAATTTCCCTCAATCTTCTTTCCTCCGAGGAGATCTACTCCCAGTTATCTCCTTTTTGCTAAACTCCCTCTTCCCTGGAATGTGTCAATAAATTTCTTCTGCAGCCTCTCACGATCTCACAAATCTTTACAATATGACCAGAACCTGACTCAATATTTTAGCATGACTTAATCAGAACTTTATACGACTTCAGCATAACTTTGCTGCTTTTGTATTCAACACCTCTATTTATGAACCCTAACATGCCAAAGGTATTACTAACCACTCACTCAATGTGTTCTACCTCCTTCAAAGATTAATGCACATACACTCCCAGTCTTTCTATTCCTATATATTTTTCAGAAATGTGTCATTAAGCCTATACTGCCTCTGTCAATCCTTTATGCCAAAATTTATCACCTCATTTTTCAAGTCACTTTACTGCACATCCTGCTAGCCCATCCATGTCCTGTTGCAGGTAATTTGTATCATCATCATTGTTTGCCACTCCTTGAATTTTATTACAAATGATACATTTTGAAATTTACTCTGTACTTCAAGGGCAAAATTATTTACATATAGAAAACATAATGCAATGGTCCAAGCACTGACCCTTGAAAACCACCACAGTCTGCCACCTTCCAGTCTGAAAAACATCTAGCCACTATGACTCATTGCTTTCTGTCCTTCAGTTAATATTTTTTTTTAAATCAAGTTGCATAATGACCTTCCTATGCACAATTTTGTTATCCTGCCTTCTATGCGGTACCTTCTCAAACATTTTTTTTAAATCCATACAGATAGCAACATCCACCACATTCCCTTCATTAACCTTCTCTGTAATTCCACCAAAAATCAATTAGATTACTCAAGCACTAGTTTGTACTGAATTCTCCTTCTACAGGTATTAACCATTGGAAATAAAAGGATCTATTTTTATAAGAATTTATAAATCACGTTAATTCAAATTTGCAAGAAAAATCTGCCACTGTCATTTTGTGTTACATACATGATAAAACAGCCTCAGATACAGGCTGTTTAGAGGATAAAGAGCTAGCCTCTAAATATATCATGTAAAATCTTCTGCTTGTTAGAAACAGGGTTTACTTAAAGGATCTGAACATTTAAAGGTTTAACGATTTCATTGTCATGTCTTTAAATAAAGGGGACTAATTGCAACCTGCACCTGAAACAATTTCTGTGTCGAACTGATCTTCACAGCCAATTTTTTTTTTTTTTTACTCAAGTCGAAGTGCATCTCAGTTCAAGTGCAAGCATTGTCATTTGTGCAGTTGCGGAGATTATGTCCACCTTTTGTCCAAGGTGGTTTGGAAGAATACATCTTAAATTCCTACTTCAACTATGTAAAAAGAATACATATCTACACAGAGAAGGAATTGTTTAATCTAATGCAGGCTCACTCGAATAGAAATACTCAGAAGACTATTTACTCACGTGCTCCAATTGAGACCAGTTTTTCAGCTTGGAAGGGAATGAGACTCCATTGTTGAAGACCTTAATGTCAATATCTTGAGGATAGTACCAGGAGAAGATTTCAGCCACAAGATAACCATTAGAAAAGGCTCTGAGAAATACAATGGACAAGGAAATTCCAACAAGGATAAACACTAGAGGCATCATTTTTCACACAATAATGAAACAATGGTGTCAGCAAGTACAGGCTCCAATTACATATTTGTGATGATTTTCATTGTCTGTGCCTAACATAGTTCAACTTGCCTCATGGACAAACAAACTCAGACGCAGAATGTCCCAGCCTATCTGTACTGGAGATGTTACAAACAGCAAAGCTTTGATATATTAATTTAACCTAAGGAATAATTTAACTCCAAGACTCAATTCCATATTGCATCATTTTGAAATGCCCTGCAAAACTCACCAAGGCTTCTTTGACAGCATCTCCAAAACCCATAAGGGCAGCAGGGATCCTGAGTTGTACATATATTATAATTTCTCCATTGTTGTTGTCTCAGAATTTCCTACCCAACTCTGCTGATGGGAAAATCCTTACCAGATGCAACAGTTCAAAACAGCAATTCACCACAAATGAGAAGGTGGGCAATGAGGGCCAATCTAGCCAGTTGCAGCCACAACCCAAGAACAAATAGTAAAATATTGCAGTAGTACAGTCACAGGGCATGTTAGAGACATCTATTTCCGTTTTCATAACCTGCACTTGTCAGGCCCAATGCACAGTAGTTTCATCCTCAGTAAACTGCATTAGTTTACACTTGTTACATCTGTGTCTCATCTCTGAAATTTCTAACATAACATCAGGTGCAAAGGGATCTTGGTGTTCTCATGCATGAGTCACCAAACAAGTACAGCACATAATTGAAAAGACTAATGGGATGCTATCCTTTATTCCAAGAGGGACCGAACATAAAAGTAAGGATGGCATGCTTCAGTTATACCGAGCATTGGTGAGACCACATCGTGAATACTCACTGTAGTCTTGGTGTCCTTATTTTAAAAATTGTGCAAATGCTTTGGATATGGTTCAGAGGAGGTTTACTAGATTGATATCTGGAATGTATTGGTTGTTCTGTGAGGAAAGGTTGGATAACTGGACTTGTTTCTTCTGGGATTTTGGACAGAAAGGAAGGCCTTGAGAAGTGTATTAGATCTTGAGTGGACTGACAAGATAGACATGGAATGGATGTTTCCACTTGTGGTCAAATCCAAACCAGGGGCCATTGTTTTAGAGTCACAGGGCTGCAGCTTTGGAACCCTGCCCCCGAAGGCAGTGCATGTGAGAGCATCAAGCTTTTTTAAGAAAGAAATGGATAGATGCCTGTTATACAGGAGAATTAAGGATTATCAGAGTAGATGAACATGTGGAATTCTAAAGCACAAACAGATCATCCACAATCTGACTGAATGGCGGAACTCAGGTACAAAATAGACTACTTCTGTTCCTACTTTGTGTGCTTATGGCATAAAACCTAGTTGCGGTAATTTAAATATACATAACTACATTCCAAAAATCATTAGTAACACTAATCCTTTGTTATCGCAACTCATTTACCATAGCTGAATACAGAACCTGAGATTGTATAACACAAAATGAATACTAAAGATATCAGTTAATAATTCCAGCAAGCAATTTATTTCTGAAAGCTTTGCTGGATGTAATTCAGATAAAGACAATAGGTATTCAGTTGAGTACATTTAATAGGAATCTGTTATGTTAACCTAATAATAATACTCAGCTTTCATTTGTCCAGAAGATATGTCTGGTCAGTTTGGGGGATGCATTTAATGGGTTCTGCTCATGGCATGCAAGGTGACTGCAACATGTGACACATAAGAGGTTGCCAATGTTTGATGACAGCAGTGAAGGGGACAGGGTATTGGTGAAGAACAAAAACTACTGGAATGTTTGGCAACCTTATACTAATATTACCTTGGCTAGAAAGATTGTTTCCTTGGGGGGTGGGACTGATGATCATAATCATGGCCGAAGAGGTTCAATGGGCTGAATGAACTCCTCTTGCTCCTATTTTCCATGTTTTCTATTGTTCTATCTTTCGAACACAGACAGCCTTGCACATCCACTCCAAGGCAACAGTGCTATCTACTAGCCACAGCTTACACTACAATAATGGAATTGTTTAAATGGGACAAAATGACTGCAGACGTGTATTTGATACAACATAACCAAGAGCCATTCTTTGTGAAAAAAAGGTTCACTCGATACAAATGAAAAATTTTAGACAAGTTGTCAGGTGAATTAGACAAATATATCAATGTTGATTTTACTGATAACAGTTTGCCCCCTCCAGTTTTAGCACAGTTCAATTCCATTGGGCATGTACCATGCAAACTTCAGCTAAAGGAAGGAACAGTTAAAATGTTGTTATGGAACTTGAATCTTAAACGAAGAGTTAACAATGGAACAAAATTCATAGTTAGGAAGCAATTAAAAAGGTGATAGACATTAAATTATAAAGTTTTCAAAGAAATAGTGTGCTTATTTATTGAGTAATGAGTAAACAGTTGTCAATCTGCCGTTTAAACTCAAGAGAAAACAGTTCCAAATTAAACTTACAGAATTTGTGTCTATACACACACCTCATGGTCAGTCCTTTTTTTACATTTATTTTCCTTGGACCGCTCTTACACAAGAAGCTGAATGCAACTTCTCCAAAGCAAAAAGTTCTGATTTTCTCTAATTAATTCACAAGATGCCTGAGTTACTGGCTAAGGCAGCATTTATTTATTGCCCATCGATAACTGACCTTGAGAAGGTGGTGGTGAGGTGCCTTCTCGAACCACCGGGTTTTTGAGTGCAGGGACACCCATAGCACCTTTAGGAAGGAGGTTCCAACATTTTGGAACAGCAATAGTAAAGAACAGTGATATATTTCCAAGGATGTTGCCAGGGTTGGAGGGTTTGAGCTATAGGGAGAGGCTGAATAGACTGGGGCTATTTTCCCTGGAGTGTCAGAGGCTGAGGGGTGACCTTATAGAAGTTTATAAAATCATGAGGGATAAGGATAGGGTGAACAGCTGAGGTCTTTTTCCCCAGGGTAGCGTAGTCCAAAACTAGACAGCATACGTTTGAGGTGAGAGGGGAAAGATTTAAGAGGGTCCTAAGGGGCAACATTTTCACACAGAGGGCAGTGTGTTTATGGAATGAGCTACCAGAGGAAGAAGTGGAATTGTCAGAGGCACAGACAAACATTTCTACAGTTGACAACAAGACATCAGAATGGTGTGTTGCCTTCCTGGTGCCAGGATCAAGGACATCTTGAAGAGGGTGCAGAATATCCTCAAATGGGAGAGGGACCTGTGGAGGTTGTTGTACACATTGAAACTAACAGGACAGGAAGAGAAAGGACATGATCTGAAGAAACAATATAGGAAGTTAGGCAGGAATTTAAAAGATAGGTCCTCAAGGCTAGAAATATCTGGATTACTCCAGGTGCCACAAGTTAGGGAGGGTAGGAATAACAGAGTGGAGCATATGAATGTGTGGCTGAGGAACTGGCGCAGGGAAGAAAAAATTCGCATTTTTGGATCATCGGAATCTATTCTGGAGCAGAAGTGACCTGTATATGAAGGATGGATTGCACCCGAATTGGAAGGGGACTCGTATAATAGTGGGGAGATTTGCTAGAGCTGCTCGAGAGGATTTAAACTAGTAAATAGGGACCCACGGAGATACTGAGGAAGCAATCAGTCTGAGACTGGCGCAGTTGGGAGAAGGAGAAATTCGAACAGTCAGGGCAGGCAGGAACAAAGCCGAGAACAAGGTAGGACTGATAAATTAAACTGCATTTATTTCACTGCAAGACGCCTAACAGGTAAGGCAGATGAACTCAGGGCATGATTGGGAACGTGGGACTGGGATATCATAGAGATTACAGAAACATGGCTCAAGGATGGACAAGACCGGCAGCATAATGTTCCAGGGTATAGATGCAATAGGAATCATAGAAAAGAGGAGAGAGAGAGGAGGGAGAAGTGGCATTTTTGATAAAGGGATAACACTACGACTGTAATTTGGGAGGATATTCCTGGGATTACGTCCAGGGAAGTTAGACTCACGGTGCTCAAGGGAAGCTTAACGCCCTGGGTTAAGTGGGCGGCACAGTGGCTCAGTGATTAGCACTGCTGTCTCACAGCGCCAGGGACCCGGGTTTGATTCCACCCTTGGGCGACTGTCTGTGTGGAGTTTGCACATTCTCCCCGTGCCTGCATGGGTTTCCTCTGGGTGGTCCAGTTTCCTCCCACAATCCAAAGATGTGCAGGATAGGTGGATTGGCCATGCTAAATTGCCTGTAGTGTCTGGGGATGGGTCCGGGTGGGATACTCTGAGGGTCAGTGTGGACTTGTTGGGCCGAAGGGCCTGTTTCCATACTGTAGGGATTCTATGATTTGGGTGGAACTGAGAAACAAGAAAGGGACGGTCACTTCATTGAGATTGACTATAGACACCCCAACAGTCAGCAAGAAATTGAAAAACAAATTTGTGAGGAGATCTCAGTTATCTGTAAGAATAATAGAGTGGTTATTGTAGGGGATTTTAACTTACCAAATACAGACCGAGACTGCCATAGTGTTCAGGGTTTGGATGGAGAGGAATACAAGAAAATTTTCTGATTCATTACACAGAGGTACTTACTAGAGAAGGTGCAAAATTTGACCTACTCTTGGGAAATAAGGCAGGGCAGGTAACTGAGGTGCCAGTGAGGGACAACTTTGGGGTAGTAAAGATAATTCTATTAGTTTTTAAGTAGTGGTGGAAAAGGATAGACTGGATCTAAAAGTTAAAATTCTAAATTGGAGGAAGGCCAACTTTGACGGTATTAGGCAAGAACTTTCAAAAGTTGATTGGAGGCGGATATTTGCAGGTAATGGGACAGCTGGAAAATGGGAAGCATTCAAAAATGAGATAACAAAAGTCCAGAGACAGTATGTTCCTGTTAGCGTGAAGGGCACGGCTGTTAGGTGTAGGGAATGCTGGATGACTAGAGATATTGAGGTTTTGATCAAGTATAAGAAGGAAGCATTTGTAAGGTATAGACTGCAGGGTTTGAGTGAAACCCTGGAAGAGTG